GAAATGATATTAATTGATGCATTGGTTATAAAAAAGAAAAGACAAATGAGCCGCGTCACGACAAAACCAACATAGTGTGTTTGCGACCAGCATGGATCAAGACCAGCCTGCGCATCTGTGCAGTCTGATCAGGATCCATGCTGTTTGCTTACCAACTCTATTACAAGTGAAGAAACTGAAAGCGAACAGCATGGACCCTCATCAGACTGCACTGATGCGCAGGCTGGTCTGGATCCATGCTGTTCGCAAACGCACTATGTTAATTGGTTTTGTCATGAAGCGGCAAAATCCCATCACCACGTCTAGTGGCAAATTGATCCTGGTCGTGTAAAACACGTGAAAAATAGACATGTCTATGCACAAACAAAGAAAACAGGAGAAGAAGAAGAAGAAGAAGAACGTTTATTTCACTTAAACTACAAGTTTCTCGTGATTAACATATATACAAGCATACATATATATAATGACATGAAAAATACAATGCCATGAAAGTAAACATAATAATTATATTGGATGGACGAATCAAAATAGAGATGACACAAATATTAAAGCATAATGGCTATTACGTACATAGTAGTATACACAATAACACTTTTCATTAGTTTGGACATAAAAGTAGGTTGAAATACATATCTAAGCATTAATAATCTGATATCGTAATTTGAAAGCTTCATTAATATATTGACAAAGCATAATTGTTTCTTTATTTTTATCACTTTTTAATAATTGAGTAAACTTAAACATACTTGGTCTATTTCTGTAATAATTCTTAATATATATATTTCTTAAATTTTCATATGCAGGACACTTAAACACAAAATGGAACTCGTCCTCAATTTCATTTGTATTGCAAATTAAACAATATCTTAAATTTCGCTCTACTCGTTCACGTGAATATCTACCTGTCTGTATTCTAAGATTATGAGGTGGAATACGCAGTTTTGTCAAAGCTATTCTTAGTTTTCTTGATACAATATTTTCTAAATAAGGTGACATTTCAAAACTGTCCTTTACTGATTTATATAAAAATAATACATCATTACAATTGATACTAGCTCTCCATTCTTGTAAATATTCATCTATTAATCTCTGTTTAAAAACAACAATAAAACAATTTTGATTAACGCTTAAAGGGTTTAACCATACATAAAAAAAACGTATTTTTCTAAAAGACTTCGTACATTTGCAAACCAGTTTGTATACCCTATATTTATATCAGACATACATGAATTAACAATTGTAGTTATGATAATATTACTTGAACTTATTATCTTAAACCAAAATTTTACAATTCGAACATATCTGTTTATATACAACGGGTATCTTCCAAGTTCACCATACACAGCTACGTTACTAGTAGATTTTCAAACACCAAGAACAGTTTTACAAAATTTCAAATGAATATTTTCATTTTTTGATTTGTGAAAACCCCATACTTCACTTGCATACATTAAAATAGAACCAATAAAAGAGTCGAACAACTGTAGGGCTATTTTTGGTTTTGTTTCATATTTTTTCAAATTTGCCACTAAATTATTTAGGGCTTTTAAACTGTTACCATGTAAAGTATTTAAGTTAAAATTTCCTGTATAATTCAATGTAACACCTAGATAATTAAAATCATTTACAATTTCTATATTATCTTGACCATATAACCAGTTTTCTCCTGCTCTTAAACAGAAATCAAGAATGAAAAAAAAAAGTAAACGATTTTCATAATACCACTGTATTAAAAAAAATGGAGACAATTTTTTAAACAAGATAAATGCACTTATCAATTATTCATACATTCCTATAAATAAAATAAAAAATAATCAAAGCCTATGAAAGTTAATACACATTTATTATTTGTTTAACCACGTCATTAAAACACGTCATAAAAACATTGCAAAAAATATGTCCTTTTAAACGATTTGTGTTTCAAATGTCGTTCTTTTGACATACGCTATGCATTTGAAATCACAGCCACTACCTCCATGCAGTTTGCTCTGCGATGGGTCCTTTTGGTTCTAGGCTTTTTACAACGGAATGCCGTTAGAGCCATCGCCTATGAATGGTTTGATCTGCAACACGATACTCGACAGTACGATGATGAAAACGCGAAATCACGAAACTATGATGGTGAAAACACGACAGCACGATGGTGAAAACACGATAGTTTATCGCGTTTTCATCATCGTAGTATCGTATTGTCACGTTTTCATCATCGTGCTATCGCGTTTTCATCATCGTACTTTCGCGTTTTCACCATCGTAGTTTCGTGATTTCGCGTTTTCACCATCGTACTATCGACTATTGCGTTTAAGATCAACACATTCACAGGCGATGGCCCTAACGGCATTCCGTATTTTACTGCCTTTCTTTTCCACCGGCGAAATGTCAAAGCTGACTTCCCACGAAAACCTCCGAATTTCAAAGAATGCTTTTCAACAACGGAAAGTAAATTTATATAAAATGATAATCCAGCATCTGCTGACTACGGTGGCACAAAGGTTACATGTGTGTGTTTTTATTTATCTCGTGCGCAGGAGTTCCACGAGTTAATTAAGTCGTGGCCACGAGGGAACAAGATACTAGGTCGTACTATAAGGGGAAGGAACTCCAGACTACGCAGTTGCCGGCATATTGACATATCGTTATATATTAGCATATCTTTATATTGCCATATCGTTATATTACCATATCGTTATAATACCATATTGTTATAATGCCATATCGTTATATTACCATGCCGTTAAATTGTCATGTCGTTATATTACCATATCGTTATATTATCAAATAGCTTATGAACATTTGATGTTATTTGACAATTGTGATGTCAATGTCAAATCTTAGGTCAGAATTAACAAATATCGTTTTATATTAGCATATCTTTATTGCCATATCGTTATATTACCATATCGTTATATTGTCATATCGTTATATCACCATGCCGTTATATTGTCATGCCATTATATTACCATATCAATATCTTACCAAATCGTTAAATAGCCATATCGTTATATTGCCACATTATTCTATAGCATATCATTATATTGCCATTTCATTATATAACCATATCATTTTTTTGCCATATTGTTATATATTAACATATCGTTATATATTGCAATATCTTTAAATAGCCATATAGTCGTTATATAATGCCATCATATCGTTTTATTTAGTGATTAGTGTTGAAGCAGTTTTTATAGTATTATAGCAATTTGAACTTGTAACGGGAGACTTTTCAATGAAAACAGCCATTTTTCACAAAATGCTCATGAAGTGCATGGTTAATGAAAAAAATCAAAAAATCTACAAAACAACAATTTATATGACAGGCCATGAAAAAACGCGATTTAGGGTAATTTCAAGTGTTTTCATCATTTCCTGTTAATGAAAAAAATAAAAAAATCTACAAAACAACAATTTTTCTCAAAATTTATATGACAGGCCATGTTTAAACATGAAAAAACGTGATTTAGGGTAATTTCAAGTATTTTCAGCATTTTCTGTTAATGAAAAAATAAAAAAATCTACAAAACCACAATTTTTCTTAAAATTTATATGAAAGGCCATGTTTAAACATGAAAAAACGCGATTTAGGTTAATTTCAAGTATTTTCATCATTTTCTGTTAACCCATTACGTTATATACACGCCTTTTAACGCCCTCTTTACCCCCCCCCCATTTTTTGTTGTCTCAAATGGTGAAAAAATGCCTTATTTGGGCCCCCAACACTTGTTTTTGTTTGAGAAATGTTGTAAAAAAAATGTGACTTCTTTTTCAGCGCGGTCCCCCAACCAAAAGATACATCAGGGGGTTGCCAGAAGGGGATGTGCCCCCTTCTGTTTTGGGGGTTTGAAGAGGGGCAGAGTCCCCCTTCATGGCCAAGAAAATTTTGGACTTGTGGGAGGCTATAAATGACCCCAGATTGATCATAAGGTGTAACCAACCCTGAAAAGCATTTGACTCTATCTCAATCCATTGAGAAGTTGCAGCACTTTGAAATCAATTTTGATGGAAAAAATCAACGCAAAATAGTGATTTTTGGCAATTTTGAGATGACCCCTCGTTGCCATGGTAACAGAAAAATTAAGCCTGAGCATGTTGTTGCAAGGGCAGTTGTCCAGTCAACATTTGTGCCAAGTTTGATTAGTGTTGAAGCAGTTTTTATAGTATTATAGCAATTTGAACTTGTAACGGGAGACTTTTCAATGAAAACAGCCATTCTTCACAAAATGCTCATGAAGTAATGGGTTAATACAGTTTATGTGAGGAAGCTATTTAGTAAGGTTATGAAATGTTGATGGTTTTTTCACCTGGTGCTTATTCTTTATGCAATGCAAGTATGATTGAAATACAGTGTAAAGTGAATATATGATATAAAAGCAACAAAAAACGGGGGAAAAACCTGCATGTTTTATAACAATTTTTAATTGATCACCATGGGTGAGACTCTAAAGTGAATGAAGCATATAACTTTTAAAATATCTTTCTTTTAGTTTTGAATATCCATTTAACTTGCACATGTTATTCACAAAGTTGTAGGGTAATAAGTATAGCTTGTGAAATATGATTTGACAATAACTTAACATGACAGTTGGTATTGTGGTAGAAATGGCATCAATTTTTACTTGAAAATAGGTCACCATAAACTGTGTATATTATGTTCAATGCATGTATTGAAGAAACTTGCTTGTATTTCAATCATGTGATATTTTCAGATCTTCCAGTTGTTTCCACTTTATTCCATGTTATACATAATTGAGCCGCATCATGACAAAACCAACATTGTGCGTTTGCGACCAGCATAGATCCAGACCAGCCTGCGCATCCGTGCAGTCTGATCACGATCCATGCTGTTCGCTTACAGACCCTACAACAAGTAAAGAAACTGATAGCGAACAGCGTGGATCCTGATCAGACTGCACAGATGCGCAGGCTGGTCTAAATCCATGCTGGTCGCAAACCCATTATGTTGGTTTTGTTGTAACGCGGCTCATATTGACTGTTGTTAATGATACATTGAAAACACATTTAGTCTTTCATATTTGATATGCATATACTTCATTTGTTGTTTTTTTGCTTTATCATGATGTAACAGTGCAATTTATGTAGAATTATAAAGGTATATTAGAAAAAAAAACGTGTTTGTTTCAGTTAAACCTTATATTTAACATCATTTTTATTCTTAATGAATTTCAAATGGGATGTGTTATTACCTCCCTTTGGTTTATACATAATTTATTCTGGAAGCTATAAGCTTATAGACAAACTTCGAATCTGTTCCTTGAACCAACCAGTACTGAGCAATGCGTGTAGTTTCTTGCTCAAGGAAACAACAACTTGCCCCTGATGGGGTTTGAACCCTTGCGGCTAGCAATAATTAGATTACTAATCCGACGTGGTAAACCACTTGGCCATGCCGCCACTCAATATTACCTCCCTTCATATAGACACATGAAATCTGATAGATTTTTAATGTGATAGATTTTTGTCCCAGTTATATTTAGCAAAGTCGACAGATAAACTTAAAGAATTTATTTAGGTTTAAACATGTTGTGATGAGCCCTTGTTCTTTTCATTTAAAGTTATAACCTTGAGTTGTTACAGAGTAATAAATAAAATAAAGATAAAGTTTTTAAAATATATTCACTGTTAGTGTTAACCCTTAACCTGCTGCATTTATGTCAAAGATTTAACAGCTTGCAATTTGGAGCAGTCTATTGTAAGTTCAAGAGATTTCTATATTGATGTAGAAAAATTTAGCTAGCAACCAAATCTAAAGGTCATACTTGATCTGACCAGGCTTTATACTTGTGGCAAAATCCTATCACTATTCATGGTTAAGGCAGGCCAAGGTTTAATTGTGATATACCAAAGTTTTATTTTTACTGGCATAAAAGAAGAAAAAAACTGGCTAAATTTATTCTTCCAAATTCAAAGAGATGATCATATTACGGAGATGAGATGGAAAGGGTACATGTTGTTCTGTTCTTTGCTGAAACCAGTCTGTGTTTGTATCTTGTACTGTTGCTGTGTCATGTATCCAAATGTTTGGCTCTGTTTGAACTGATTGGATATTATGAGTGTTGTTTGAATAAGAGTTGGAATCAAATACATCAGAATATTCAGAACTAGTGTGTAGCTGTCTGCTGGGTATACTGGTATGTTGTAGTGTTTGTTCTCCATTTGAGTTAATTGCCTTTAATCTTTCTAGATTACTTGTTGAAACAGAAGATTTGTCTTTATGATTTCTTGGGTTTCCGTTATCACAATTTTGCCGTGTTATATGATGTTCATCGTTTAAATTCCTAGTCTGGAACAGTGATTCGTTATAACTGGTTGGTATGTAGTTGTTATAAGTTGATGTATTATTGTTGGTCTCCTCACATGTCATCTCATTACTATCTGTTAAATCTGCATTGGCTCTCTTCTTTCTCACTGAAACATGATTTACAGTGATACCTTAATTACAACAAGAATGTTATATTGAAAACTAATTACTTAGATTTGTTTATTCATTAATAGTCTCAGTTGACTTATAAACTTGCACCACAGTATTACAGGTTTGAATTCCACTACGATCAATGACCTTTAAATGAGTAGATGTCTTGAAACAAGGAATCACATTGAACTTTTGTGGTTTTACCAAGGTACTATTTACTTTCATGATGTTTTTTCTTCCAAAAAAATTGATTACTTTAATTTACTTTGCATAATTATAACTAATGGTAAAAACAAGACACAGGTGATAAAAAAATAAACATAAATTATAATTTTGTTTCTATTTTTGTTATGTCTCCATTTTTAGAAATCATTAGTGTTGAATTATATTTGCCATGTACAAGTGAAGCTTCAGTCTGCAGGTATTATACTTGCTGCAAAGGCTGATCAGTTTCATCAGATCAAAAATTAATCTCAAGATTTAATCTTTGTATCACTTGTCTCTAACTGCAGCAGATACAATTCCTGTCATTAATGTTGAATGAATTCTTACATGTGAGGAAGTTATCCAGTAAGCTACAAAGTGTGACAGACCTAATTGGTTGCTTAGAGTTAGTTGTAAAAATGATATTATTGGACAGTCTTCATCCACCAGAAGAGCTGGAAACCATCCATTAACAGATTTGGAAAATAATCATTGTGGTCTTCACAGTATTGGTGTGACTTTTAAAGAACCAATCAAAATAACATTAATAAAAATAATAATAAAATTTCTGTACATCAATCGGTAGTATTACCTTGTCTCATGTACACTGCTGTTACTGCTGCAACAAGTATTACTACAGATATAACGATAGCAACTGTTGTTGTTTTGCTGATTGGTTCTCCTTGGCTGGTACCCGCTTTTTGTGGTTCTTCTGTGGGCAGTGCTGGAATATGATATATACTATCTTTAACTAGTTATAATCAAATATCATAAAATTGAATGTACACTGCTATATTATTACATCACCCCACAAGTAAGCCGCCAACCAGATCTGACATTTTTTTCTGTCAGCTCGTCGGTTTTAGAAGTTTTTACTAAACATCCTTATATTATTGAAATGTTGCAAATTCAGAGAAAACAAGGCCATTAAACAGATATAACATGTTCATAGAATATAATTATATTAAAAATAAGTCATAAAAGAATAAAGTATATTACATAAGGGGTAAAAAAGTTGGCAGTTACGTAAATGCCACTGTAATGTCACAACTGTTGAATGTTATCTTAGCTTTGTGCAATGCTGTCCTATTTAAGTCTAGGTCAATATACTGCATTTACTGTTACATTATTTATACATGATTGTACATGTAGAAATGTATTATTTTAAGCCAATTATCATGAAAGATGATTATAATTTTTCAACATTTTCTTGCTTATTATTAAGTTATCACAAAATATCAGAGTAAAAACAAATATTTTACATTTGGCTGAAATCTGACTTTTTTGACATTAATTTAAAAAAAGGATAGATGAAATCCATAAAATACAGAAAATCTATTACTATTGACACCATATGCAAGCTTTGTTGTTCTTTTTGTTGTCTTGTATGTTGTGATTTTGGAGGTAGAGTTTAGAACACCACTTGGCAGTTTTAAGGTAACACGAATTATTGACAATACTGGTAGACTGCACTGTAAAATAACTTTGTACCATCCCTAAACATTAAAGAATAAAAATACAGTAAATTTATGGATATGTTAAATTTGAATAATACATGTAATTGTATAGTACTCAATAAATGGTTATTAGTGGAGTTCAGTATGAACAATTGTTTGAATCTGGTGTTTTATGTGAACACTGTTATTCATAGTCCAAACCAGTTTTATGTGGGACTGATTCATTCAAGACACATGTCACCAAATACAACATTGAAATAATACTGTTTTTAAAAAAAACAAAAAAACAAGAAAAGATTTTACATGCCTTATGAAAATGAATGGTTATCATCTTATAATGTCAGATAGTCACCATGTCTTATAATGTCAGATTGTCAACTTGTTTTATAATGACAGGTTGTCATCATGTCTTATAATGTCAGATTGTCACTATGTCATATAATGTCAGATTGTAACCATGCATTATAATGTCAGATTGTCAACATGTTGTATAATGTCAAATTGTCACCATGTATTATAATGTCAGATTGTCACCATGTCTTATAATGTCAGATTGTCACCATGTCATATAATGTCAGATTGTAACCATACATTATAATGTCAGATTGTCAACATTTTGTATAATGTCAAATTGTCACCATGTCTTATAATGTCAGATTGCTACCATGTCTTATAATGACAAATTGTCAACATGTCAGATAGTCACCATGTCTTATAATGTCAGATTGTCAACATGTTGTATAATGTCAGATTGTCATCATGTCTTATAACATCAGATTGTCACCATGTCTTACAATGTCAGTTTGTCACTATGTCTTACTATGTCAGATTGACACCATGTGTTATAATGTCAGATTTTCACCATGCTGTATAATGTTGGTTTGTCATATAATGTTACCAAATTGATAATCAATATCCTAAAAGTCCAGCATGTTGTATAATGTCAAATTGTCACCATGTGTTATAATGTCAGATTATCACCATGTCATATAATGTCAGATTGTCACCATGTCTTATAATGTCAGATTGTCAACATGTTGTATAATGTCAGATTGTCACCATGTCTAATAATGTCAGATTGTCAACATGTTGTATAATGTCAGGTTGTCACCATGTCTAATAATGTAGGATTGTAACCATGTCTTATAATGTCAGATTGTCAACATGTATGATATCAGATAGTCACCATGTCTTAAAATGTTAGATTGTCACCAAGTCTTATAATGTCAGATTGTCACCAAGTCTTATAATGTCAGATTGTGACCATGTTGTAAAATGTTAGATTGTGACCATGTCTTATAATGTCAGTTTGCCACCATGTCATATAATGTCAGATTGTCACCATGTCTTATAATGTCAGATTGTCACCATATATTATAATGTCAGATTGTCAACATGTTGTATAATGTCAGTTGTCATCATGTCTAATAATGTCAGACAGTAACCATGTCTTATAATGTCAGATTGTCACTATGTCGTATAATGTCAGATTGTCATCATGTCTTATTACGTCAGATTGTCACTATGTCTTACTATGTCAGATTTACACCCTGTGTTATAATGTCAGATTATCACCATGTTTTATAATGTCAGATTGCTGCCATGTCTTATAATGTCAGATTGTCAACATGTAGGATGTCAGATAGTCACCATGTCTTAAAATGTCAGATTGTCACCATATCTTATAATGTCAGATTGTGACCATGTTGTATTATGTCAGATTGTGACCATGTCTTATAATGTCAGTTTGCCACCAAGTCTAATAATGTCAGATTGTCACCATGTCGTATAAAGTCAGATTGTCACCATGTTTTATAATGTCAGATTGTCACCATGTCTAAAAATATCAGATGGTCACCATGTCTTATAATGTCAGATTGTCACCATGTCTTATCATGTTAGATTGTCACCATGTCTTGTAATGTCAGATGGTCACCATGTCTTATAATGTCAGATAGTCACCATGTCTCATAATGTTGGATTGTCACCATGTCTTATAATGTCAGATTTTCACCATGCTGTATAATGTTGGTTTGTCATATAATGTAACTTAATTGATAATCAATATCCTAAAAGTCCTAAATGTTTAGATGTGAAAGACTCTGTATCCTAGATTTTATGCTTATTTGCATTCTCTTACCTGACTTGGCCAGGCCTGACTTGGCCAGGTTTTTGTTCCAGAAAAATGTAGACATGTTTGATACCTATCTTGTATTCCATTTGAGGACTGTTTGTTTGGTTATTTCAAAAGATAAATGGTTGCTTTTACCTTTTAAAATAAATTGTGATATTGAAATAGAATTATTTTTGTGATTTCTTATTTTAAACAGAATTAAAAAATTTAGAAACAAGATAAAATTTTTTTGGCTGCTATTTTTTCAGTATTTTCAAATTTTACCTTGATATTTTGGTAGAACCTTTGGTAGCTTTAAAACTTAAAAATTTCCCCCTCTTTTGAAAGAAAGTTATGTTGCTTTATTATCTTTATGAAGAGTTATTGTTGTTTATTAACCATTAAATAACTCTTGAAAAATAATAATTTTGGATTTAACCCCAAAAATTTGTTGAAAAAATTTTTTTGGAAAAGGTTTTCTTTTGGAAAAAATATCATATCTTTGATAAAATAGCATACATTTATAAAAAACTGAATACCTATTAAGCATTGTTGATTGTTGCTCCTGACTATAAGCCAGACAATGTATCTAGTAATGAGTTGGGGGTGTAAATTTATTCATATCTCAGATTGCAAAATCTTAGGAGCGGTACATAATGTTAATGATGGTATATAAAGCAAATTCATGATTGGGAGAAGGGAATTTGCTTCATTTTTAATCTGTTAAAATGTTATCAAATATAATGATGTGGTTGTTATTATAAAGTCCAAGGATGTAGGACCTTTCAATGTGCTGTTTTCTTCCTTTTTCCATAAAATTTATTTTAAAAATCCGTGAATTAACAATAGAAAAACAGTATCCGATCATTCTGTTTTGGTGGTACTTACACAATATTTAACTTTAAATCTTAATTGGCAAGTTCCAAATTTTATACACTGCGGAGAAAATAAGATATAATTAAGGTGCTATGGCAGACATGAGCCGGCACCACTGACTTTACATTAACTATTTTAAGAGCTGAAAAAAAATATCCAAAATCCCCAGCCATTTAAACTAAATGTAGCTGAAATATGTGGTAAAAAGGGACAATGAATTAGTCAGCTACATAACAACTTAGCCAGAGAGTCCGACTACAGTAATTATGTTAACTTATAAGTAATTTTGTTTAAAAAATATTTTTTTATTAAAAAAATTAATAGGACATACCATACAATTTCCATGTTATATTAAATAACCCTGGATAACTTGTTGCTTTAAACTGACTGACATCATCTGTATAATTTGAACACTGTTGATAACAATTCTTTTGATGTGCTCCTGTAAAAACAATCCTGCTGAAGTGTTTTTTAAAGATTGTAAAGCTATAGTTTGCAAAATATAAGAAAATTTTTCCGAAAACTGTACAATCGCAGTGTTTTCATATTTTTTTTTCTGGAAACAGTTCATTAAAGAAAAGACTATTATTTACTCACATATAATTATACAAAATGTAATTTTTTATGTTACTGTATAATAAGTTTTATGTAATCAAATGTTTTGATGGGGAAAAGTTTATTTAATTTATCTTACCTTTACAGTAATCCTGTGTCACATTTAACCTTTTTATTGTCTGAATTGAAATAAAATAACAAAATTGTCATACTTTCATTTCATACAAAACTATAGGGTATTTTAAATTGATTTAAGCTATGTGATATGTTTACTATCACAGTCAAATAATTTTGGGCACCAAAATGTCACATGATGAGGAATCAGCATCTTGCCCAGACTCAATTTTAATAGTTCTAATGCCTGAGTTATCTGCCCATATAACATAGTTTCTCCTTTACTTTATGACAAGTTCCAAATGATAAAACTCATTATGCACTCAAGTGATATCTACATGAATTTTCAGTATTAAATAAATGAAGCTAAATTTCAAAAAGAACTAAAAATTACAATTTTGAAAGGTGACACAGCCTACAAGTATCTTATATTTCTTTCTGTATTTTTCATAATTGATTGAATTAAATGATGCAGTGTGTGTTTAAAGCAAACAGATTAATTTAACAAACTAGCAAAATATATAGTTACCTGATTGTACTGGTAAAATCCTGTATCACATGTTAGAGGAATATGCCATTACTTCAAAGAAATATAACCAAAAAAAAATTTCAGTAAAAACTGAATGTTCTATAATATCACTTTTTGTTTGGGTAATATTTAATTTGTAATGTTAATTACAAAAAAAAAGAAAAGAAAATATTTTTAAATTTGTCATGAAACAAAATGTGGTATGATAACTTATCTAACATTTTAACATTGTTAGAATATAAAAATGATAGAAAACAACAATCTTTGAGGTTATCTGCCCTTGTTATCTGACTTTGTTGTTATCACCCTTTTTATCTAACTTTCACCTACAATAACTGGTTACGACTGATATTGGTTCAGTTTAGTTGGTGCTATAAATTTAGTTTTCTAATAAAAATTTAATGTTAGATAATATAGCATCTTACATGTGTTGTTCTTTCAATGTAGACTTGTATATTAAATAAGTCTATTGTTTGTTTGATTTGGGTTTACGTCACACCGACACAGTATAGGTCATATGACGACGTTCCAGCTTTTCTTGTGGAGAAAGACCTCAGGTTCCCTTCCATGCATTATTTCAGGCATGAACGGACTACCGACATTCCGTAAGCTAGCTGGATAGCTTCCTCACGTGAAAGAATCCAAAGTTTCTGTCGGGATTCAAACCCACAGCGGTGAGGGGCAAATGGTTTGATGTCAACAACCTTCACCACTCGGCCACGGACGCCCCTAAATAAGTCTATGAAAGTGTTAATCTGTGGTGATTCTTATAACATTTCAAGGATGATTTAAAATATAAGTGGATATGAAATATCAAAAATTATTATAATCTCTTGATTAATAAGTTGTTATAATATACCCAGAAAATGTCAATGTCTGTAAGATGGACCATTAATTTTACTATATGACACTTGTGTTACATAAAGAAATATTTAATAGTTAAATGTTGTTTTATAATCCACTGATCTTATATGATAAAATGTGATTCAACTTTAAATACGCACTTTGATCTCAATAAAACGTGTTTTCGTTAACACATAAAGATTATAATTTTACTGAAAATATATCTATGTACTTGATGTAAGGACAAAATAACATCATTATCAAGAACATGATAACCTCAGGATTTCACGCAAAAGAAGTGTTTGTTGTTTCTTTACACAGTGAAATGTCAGAATGAATATGTTACAGTTATCATGATCAAAAATGCAAAGTCATTTAAAGATATACTATGCTCAAATTTGATATATAGAGGATATTGAATGAGTGTAGTTTAATACTAAATTTATTGAAAGAGTTTAATAAAATCATATTATGCAAGCCTCTGACGAGCACAATATTGTTTTATTCAACGAGTTCAATAAATTTAGTATTGAATCTACACAAATATAATATTCTATTTATCACATATGTAAAATAAGAACAGTAAGACACTCCATGAGCACCAATGGGTCAATGGTTAGACACCCCAAAACCACATGAGGCAATGGTTAGACACTCTAAGAGCACCAGGGGCAATGGTAAAACAACCTAAGATTACATGAAACAATGATTAGACAACCTAAGAGCACCTAAAGCAATGGTTAGACAACCTAAGACCACATGAGGCAATGATTAGACAACCTAAGAGCACCTGGGGCAATGGTTAGACACTCTAAGAGCACCTGGGGCAATGGTTAGACAACCTAAGACCATATGAGGCAATGATTAGACAACCTAAGAGCACCTAGGGCAATGGTTAGAACACTCTAAGAGCACCTGGGGCAATGGTTAGACAACCTAAGACCACATGAGGGCAATGATTAGACAACCTAAGAGCACCTAGGGCAATGGTTAGACACTCTAAGAGCACCTGGGGCAATGGTTAAACAACCTAAGACCATATGAGGGGGCAATGGTTAGACACTCTAAGAGCACCTGGGGCAATGGTTAGACAACCTAAGACCACATGAGACACTCTATGAGTACCTAGGGCAATGGTTAAACAACCTAAGACCATATGAGGCAATGGTTAGACACACTAAGAGTACCTGGGGCAGTGGTTAGACACTCTAAGAGACCATATGAGGCAATGGTTAGACACACTAAGAGCACCTGGGGCAATGGTAAGACACTCCATGAGCACCTGGGGCAATGGTTAGACCCCCCAAAACCACACGAGGCAATGGTTAGACATCCCAAGACCACACAAGGCAATGGTTAGACACTCCATGAGCATGTAAGTCAATGATATGGCACTCTAGGAGCACAGGTGGCAATGGTTAGACACTTTAAAAGCACCTGAAGCAATGGAAAGACAAACTAAGAGCACCTTGGTCAATGGTTAGACACTTTAAGAGCACCAGGGGCAATAGTTAGACACTCTAAGAGCAACAGGGACAATGGTTTAACAACCTAAGACCACATGAGGCAATGGTTAGACACTCTAAGAGCACCATGGGCAATGGTTAGACACTCTAAGAGCACTTTGGGAAATGGTTATACACTCTAAGAGCACCTTGGGCAATGGTTAGACACCCTAGAACAAATGGGGCAATAATAAAACACTCGAGTACCTAGGGCAATGGCTAGACATCCTAAGAACACATGAGGCAATGGTTAGACACTTTAAGAGCACATGAGCCAATGATAAGGCTCTCTGAGAGCACCTGGGTCAATTGGTAGATACCCTAACAACACAATCATGAAGCAATAGTAAGACACCACTTTACAAGCACATGGGACATTGGGTAGATAACTTAAGAGCACACAAGGCAATGGTTAGACACTCAATGGTTAGAGCACAAGTGACAATTGTAAGACACACTAAGGTTACTTTTTGTAATGATTTGACATTCCGATGTGACCTTGGCAACAGTTCTACATTATACACCAATATGTTGCAATGATTAGTCAAGCAATTATTTGATACAATAAGAGCACATGTGGCAGAAGTGAGCACTTTTGGCAAAAACTACACACTCATGAGCATGTTTAGCAATGGTTTTACTTTGTTAGAACACATGTTGCAATGGTTAGATACTTAAAGATCACAATTTGCAATATTTTAAGACCCCAAAGAATACTTTTTGCAATGGGAAGACAATCTAAGAGCTTCTGTGGTAATTGTTAGGCACTCTACATAAAGGCATTTTGGGCAATTGTCTGACAGTCTAAGGGCACTTTTGGCAATAATTAGTCATGTTAAATACAATTGGGGCTATGGTTTGACACTTTAAGAGCAAATGGTGCAATGATTAGACACCTGAAGCACACATGGTTTAATTGACACCCTTGGAGCACCTGCAGTACTGGTTAGATGCTCTAAGAGCAGCTTATATAATTCATAGACTTTGAATCTTGTCAGAAACATTTGTTCATATGTCAATAAATAAAACAAAAACACATAACAAGACTATTGTTTATTTGTGAATAATTTTCCAAACATTTCCAAAGTAATGTTATTACAACTGGCAGCATTTTGGCATAAATATACAGGTGAAAAACCCTTAAATCATGCATAACATCATCTATCATAATGAATTATAATTATTTATATATTTTCCCCGTTGACAATAATTTCCATGATAAATATATATATTTACAATATGTTTGAACAAGAATTCATATGACTAGAAATACATACCATATTTGTTTATTATTTCATACAAGCTTAATGTTAAGTTAAACAAGTTAAACATTTTTACAACAATTTGAGTAACACAGGTTAAGAAAGTGTTGCACATATATTGTCATACTTCTTTTAAAATCTAGAAAATTGAAAAATATCTTAACCATTTATAAGATTAAAGTTTGGAAATAAAACAATCTACTTTTAAATTGTGGTGTAAATGTAAAAGTTTATTAGCTTATATTATTACATTCATAAACAATACTGCATTACAGTCGGCTGGCCTGAATTACCAATGGCTGGAACAAATTTGCACGGGTCCTCCAGATTCGAGTGAATGAAGTTTGTCTGTACATGTATCTGTTACATATTGACTGCTTGGTGTGAAAGGGTCTTAACTCCTTCTTTATTTAATATGAGTTACAACCCTTTAACACCAAGCCCTCAATATATGTCAGAATCACACAACAATTCTGACACATGTTTAAGCATATCACATTCACACATACATTAACCATCACCTTGTTTGTTACAAAGTGTTGAAGACTCCATTAACTATCTTACTTCTAAAAGAGAATAGAAATATTAACATTAAAATAATGATTATCAAATCAATCAGAATAAATGCCCTTAATACAAATAAATAAAATGATACAAAAGGATCTAATGAAAAGGATCTAATGGGTTAATAAAACACACACTCACACGCACGCACACACACAGCTTGTATGAGCACACACGCACGCATGCACACACACATCAACTCAAATGAAATTGAAAGAAAAATAAGAGCACTATTTCACCAAATTTAAACATATAGTTACCACATATGGACAACATGTCTTACTATAAAGAGATATCTTTTCATTGTTAGATCCTGTATAAAACATAACATTAATTGTTATGTCAATTTATCATGACCTTTCACATGTTTATCATGACCTTTCACATGTTTATAATGACCTTTCACATATTTACCATGACCTTCACATAAAGGTCATTGGCTCATTACGCTTACATTGTATTATATTGATAAATTTGTGTAACGTACTTGCGCTAGTTAACATTTCAATGTGAAAATGTTAAAATTCAGCAGCTAACAGTGGTCAGATTGGTCAAATATCAGAAGACTGGTCTGATGTTATTATGTTGGAACAGACAAGTCAAGGTAAACATTTAACATCAATGTTATTCCTGTTAGTATTGTAAACATTTTACACATCATAGGAAACATTATTTTCTTATGAATAAAAAAATTAACATTTCAAAAACAACAAGAACAACAACAATAGATCACAGGAAAAAAGAAACACACAATAAGAATAAGTGACACTTTGGTCCATGTTTAACTAACGTTTGCTCTAATACTATAAATATGTACTGCACTAATACTTAACAATATGTACATATTGATGGGTAAATGGCCAGCAGTTTTATCTCAATGAATACAAAGCACAAGATTTTTCAGAATTCAACATGTTTATTACATCTTTATTCATCACAGGCTGGGATCTCATAAAGCACACAAGCAGAGTGAGATCTCAACAAGTAAAAATCCATGAATTACCAATATAAGTTACAGATCTAGAAACTCTTCAATTTGGCAAATTACTCTGTTCTTATGAACATTATCTCATTTTTACTCTATATTCAATCATATTAAAAAGTAATGAAGCTAAAGGAACTTATTCTGGCACAATATGTATTTTCATTTCAATCAGTTAGTATTTTGTATAATAACTGTAAAATACAAACACTGCATGTAACAGTATATATATAGATGTATATTCAAATATTTTTATACAAGATAATATTACGTATTAACTTAATAACAAGGACTTTGATTTAAGAATGCGCTGTGAACACAGTAACAGAAATAAAGCAAAATATATAAGATAAAGCTGTTTGAAATGATTGTATATCCAATACTGGCACTTGGTCATCTGTACAAAATATGTCTTATATCTCTGTTTTAAGAATTGGTGACATTCTTCAAATATGTGGTTATTAATGTTATTAACCTAATAAGACTAGTAAAGCATTTAAATATTTGCTAACTTTGCTGTTTTCTAATACAACCCCAGCCCCCATATAAGATTTTCAAGCTATCTTAGAAATAAATTATTTCACAATTTATATTATACTATTAACTATTATAAAGATATATGAGCCGCGTCACGACAAAACCAACGTTATGCGTTTGCGACCAGCATGGATCCAGACCAGCCTGCGCATCTGCTCAGTCTGATCAGGATCCATGCTGTCCGCTATCAGTTTCCTTTCTTGTAATAGGGTTTGTAAGTGAACAGCATGGAACCTGATCAGACTGCGCGGATCCATGATGGTAGCAAAAGCATAACGTTGGTTTTGTCAATTTATATTGAAGTTTTAAAAATAAAATTGTTCTGACAGTGACATAGAAGGCTAGCATTTTTTTTCTCAAACAATATCTAATCATACTATAAAGCGATTTAAACATCCCCACCCACACAGTATCATCATTATTATTATTATTCTATCACTCTACTGAATTTCAATCATTTTGAAAACTATTTTTTCTATATTACCAAGTAATGGTAAATGGTAAATGGTAAAAATTAAAATCTAGAAAAACTAGCAGTTTTATTTCAACTTATCATACAACGTTTAGTGTGACAGGGCAAACAAAAGAATCAAATCAGCAGCAAAATGCTTGAGCAGCAAAATAATTTTGGGGAGCTAAATAAACACATTATCAAAAACTTTGAAATATAAATTATCATGTACATGTACTTGAATGGGCAGACAGACATTCATTTAACAATAACAAACTTTTTTCTACATATTCCTTTCAACTTGTTAATACAATGTAACATTGAATCATTCATTTTATTCCCCCATTCAAAAAAGAACATTGTCATATTTTCAAAAATTTTGATCACATTTTCGTTTACCAGGTTTTTTATTTTTGGTTTGGTTTTTGTCACTCAAACACTGTATTACTGACATTTTATAAATTTCCAGTATTAACTTCATAATAAATACCCTAAATAGCAGGCAGCTAACTAAATAGATCATTTGGAAACCTTTACAATGCCAAGATGGCAAAATCAAACAAGATTGAATTTGTGAAAAAAATCTATTTTTCTTCCTACTATTGAGTGTTGTTTTAAATGCAGTGACATGGCATTTTCATTTTTCAAAGTTTTATTTTAAAAACAGATCTTGGCAAAACTAAACATTTTCCTGGCATGGTTTAATTGAGCCTGTTCATGGATGGTACTGGCAAATGTCAGCAACTGTCTGTTTAGCCTGTTTAGACTTAAAGCAGAACCTAGACATTCACAAACAAAATGGTGTTTAATTTAGAAACAACTATCATTAACTGGCTGCAGCAGATTCCACCCACACCAACAGTGCAGACCAACATCAGTCAGCACATCCATGCCATCTGATCATGGTCTGCACTTTGCACTATTCAATCAGTACATATTTTGAAATATATTCAATCAGTACATATTTTGAAATATTCCATAAAACTGATGATGTTTTTATTTCAGATTGAAAGAGGGACCAGTCCATTTAAGAGATATAGCCTGGTAAAGGTTAAAATAAGCTTTGTAATGTTCACCCAAGCAGAGATTTTACGTCAGATTATCTTTAAAATGCAGCATGTCAATTGTTACAAAGTAACACATCTTACAAATTATATTATCAAAATAGGTCTGTGTGATAGTTTTTTTGTTATTTTGCATAACCTTGACATGTCTTTATTTACCACACATAGATAATGAAAATAAAAATTCTAGACAAGTATTAACAATAATACTGATAATAAAAAGCTGTTTAACAAAACAAAAATGAAAAAGAAGGAAAGTTTTCAGATGAAGTGTCTTTTCTTTTTTTCTTCAAAATTTTCAGTTCATCATTGGTTTTTGAATTAACTTATAAAATTATATGACAGCAGAAAAAACATTGAATTTTAAGATATAAGAGTGAAATATTTAGAAACAAGATCATTTTTCAAAAGGATTAAAAACTTCTTTTAGATAAACAGTATTTCTACAGATCATATACTGAAATTTTGGCAGGCATTTACTCACTGAATATTTATGACAAATATACACCCAATACTGTAGGGCTGTCATTGAATATCGCGATATCGATATATCATCGATATTCATCATCTGATACAATATCGATACACACTTTCACATATCGATACAAGCTAACAAAAATTATTTCTGTTACTTAATATAGCTCTCTATTTTGGCATATAAGAGAAGTCACTTTTTTCCAGTTTTCTTGGCTGACTTGAACTTTAAACTCTCAAATGTCAGTGACAAGAAAAACCGTAGAAGCAAACTTTCTTTTAGTATGTAATATTTGTAATGTGTAATACAAGCATGCATAACACCATGAACCAATTTATAACACATATATAAATGTTTTTCTGTGTATCTACTTTCAATGTATCAATGTATCATCAATATTTGTCTCTCGATATATCGATACAAAATTTTCCATCAATGACAGCTCTACAATACTGTAAATCTTCCTTAAAGACAATATGCAATAAACGATATGATAAAATAAAACCGGTTTCCTTGAGAAGAGACAAGACAAAAAAATTTTTTTTAAAAAAAATAAAAAAATAAAGCTGAGAACTCCTTTTAAAGCTGTCAATTGTTTGATTCACATGTAAGAAAATATACATGTCATAAAGCACTAAATTATCTAAACAAAATTCATAACAAAACAAATGAATAAGATTCACACGCAAAAAATAACTCTTTGGACAGATAGTTAAAAGGTAAAAACTTTACAGAGCATATATCATAATAAAGCTTTCCAAAATTTATATAATCTATTTTTAGAACAACTAGATTTTTATTTTGATGTCCATTCAGATTCTCATATTGCACGCACTTTACCATTCTGAACATCGTCAGACTTTTTTATTGCTGTTGGCGGTGGGACATATTTACCGTACAGATATATTGACACCATTACAAACCCTGCGCCAAGCATGAACTGAGCGGACATTTTAAAGTCAAAGAAAAACACAGACACTAAACAAGACACGACTATTGCTAATGAGGCAGCAAATCCTTTCAGAATATTGTCAGCATATTTGACTACCACAGCTACAAGTAAACCGCCTAGTGATTGTAGAATAATAACCAACCATACTAGACTGTCATAGCCGTAAAAAAATCCCAGCTCCCGCAACTTCTCTCCCTCTTTTATTTCCATGGTGATCATTCCTATCACTGAGCCTAAAACACCTAACTGAACATTTCGTAACCATACTGATTGTTTCGTTCCCTTTAGAATCTTTTCAAAATAAACACCAGCAAAGCCGGACATCAGACAAGATATAAAAACTGCAAAAAGTCCCAACAGAGGTCGTTGTTCTCGGACAGTCTGACTCTGACCGGCATTTTCCGGTTGCATCTGCACAATGGAAATACCCAGGAACAAAATGACTAGAGACACCCACTGTACACTAGAAAGAGACTTTCGTAACATGATCACAGAGAAAATAGCTGTTGTCAGAATCTTTAACTGGTATGTCACCTGCAAGTAGAATTGGTTTAAAACTTAATAACAGTACATTGTACTAATAATAACTTCATGATGATATTTCCATGCAATACAGCTTCTATACTGTAAATGAAAAGATACTAGTACTTAAAATATCTACCTGGATTTTAATATTTTACAACTGGAATTTAAATCCACACAAATAAGTTTATATTTTACTTATATCAGTGATAATCACAGTTGAATGACAATTTCAAAGTATATAAACTTTAACCTCAGCTTTCTGACAGAGAAGAATTCCTTGACCTTTGACTGACTGACCTCAAAATCAATAGTGATCATATACTTATAAATGATCAACCTTAATACCAGGGAACTGCCGACAAAAGTATTTTCTGGTTATTGCTAGATGATTTTATATTTGTCAGGACCTTGACCATGACAGAATGAAGGGGTCATCTACAAGTCATAACCAACCTTCCTATGAAATCTTAGTGCAGTAGGCCTAAGCATTCTCTAAACAAGAGCGATCAGTAATCACATGTGTCGCCTCATGATGGCCAATTTATCGTTGGACAAATTTTGTGAAGCGGAGACGGATGCAAACTTGATGTCTGCTTCCTGAAATTTGATAATTCACCATAGTTATGAGGAAGTCAGCACTTGCGTATCTGCACACACGAAAAAAAACTTTACAAAGGGTAATCAGCCAAAAATATCACAGAAAACCGTGCAATAGCGCAAGATTGACTACAGAATCCTGTAAGTCATGAAATTGCATATGATAAGAAAGAGCCGACAACTAAAATAAATAAGCCTAACTGAAATCAGACCGAAAACTGACATATTATATTGTACTGATCATTCCTGAGATAAGTTTGGATGAAAGTCACCAAGTAGTCTTATGAGAGTAGTCCGACCAATTGTGACGGACAGCAGACAGATGACAGAAGACGACAGTAAATTCCTTATATGTGAACCACACTCCAATGAGGCGACACAAAAATGCCTGATCAGACAAGCTTGAACATTGATAGACTGACCCCAAGATCAAAAGGGGTCATCTTCTAGTCATGAAAAACCTCCACATTTAATCTAGGTATGTAGTTATTTCAGACCTCTATGTTGGTCAGATCGAGCTTTTGTGTCAAAAGGGGTTGTACGACACATGGACCTGATACAGACGCACGATGCGACTGGCGAATATCAGCTATCCATTTATTCAAAACAGGTTGCGTAGACAGCCATTAATTATTGAATAAAGTTGTGTTCTTACCTGAAATGTGGCAGCATCAAGGTTAGACAGGGCTATATATAGCAGATTATTCTGTAATGTGTATACAAGAGATGGCACGGATATTTTAAGGCAGTCACCTGAAACATAACATTAAAATAAGTCATTATAATGAGTATAATTATCTTTTTTTACAAGAACAAAAAACATTCTTAAGTTACAATTCTGGTTGCAAAATTTAAAACAAGCATTAGAAACTATCCCCTTTATTCAACAAATGTACAGGTACATGGCTTCAATTTCAATTAAGAGTTTGCTCCCTTTAACACGAACTTTGTATCACTTTATCATGATATCACTGACATGATAATTTGTTTGTATCACTTTTAAACAATCCCATATACAGATTTTTATTTTGCAATTTAGAAGTACTTACTACATTAGTGAAATTGGGACCAAAAGCTCACCTGTTGTAAAGCCAATATAGGCCTGATAGCAATTTAACAAGACTGAATTATAGAAAATAAGTTTTGTTCTTGTAAATGACTAACAAGACGATTTTCTTTTTGTTCAAAAATTATTTCAAATTTGTCTACCAGTAATTAAATTCAAATTTGCCTTAAAAGGACATTTAACATAGTAAAAATGAAATACTCTAATGTGTGAACATTAATAAACTGTCTAAACTTTCAAGTAATGATCAAATGTAATTATTTTCATGGGAAACTTATTTTCTCTACTTTTATTATTTATCAAACCATGAAATGACATTTGTTATATATTTGAAAACTTGTACCATCTAGTTTGAATATATTTTACTAAATTAGGGTATAACGATGAGAACTGATCTATGCTTTTATGTAATCAATTTATTCAATAATGCCAAGGAGATGATATTAGTATGTATGTATATAAGTCATCAATTTACCTCAATTAGCCTTAACTATTACAGGTAATAAATGTGATTATGAATATAATTTCTTTTCTTTTTTCTTCATTTAATATGGAAATGGGGAATTTGAAAATGTATAGATACATTATGCAACTTTACCAGAATTTTCACTATTGTAGAATCAGATTATAATTCAACATGTGTCCCAGTGTGTGAAGTTTCTAAGCTCAACCTCAGTATTTTGGGGTACACTCATACAAACCTTAACCATTTCTAGTGAACTATTTTGCAGAAAGAAATCGTAAGGATTTGAACCTTAGCATATCAAGAGGAGGTGTATTATTTCAAGATCTAGACTTTGAAACTATTGCACGAATAAAAGGCCCGGCAATTATGCATTAGCTCGAATTATTTGCAGAATAGTAAAAAAAAAAATTGCAGTTAAACAGCATTCTACTTCAGACTCCTTTAAGTGACAATGGCAATGCATGTACTGTAAAACTTTAACAGCTTAACTGAAGCTGACTTTCACAAGGACATATAGGGCTTAAAACACTTTTATATTTTTTTGACCCTTAGGTAGAACCACAATCATTTCCTATGCATGCTGGGTTAATATAATGACCCTCCTCTAACCCAACAAGTAGAATGAACAAACTAACATTTCCTATAAGCATGTTCAGTAGAAGTGATCACCTTCCTGAAGTCACCAAGCCACCAAGATTCTTCATGAGATAGAATCCCAGCAGCAAATCTCTATACTGGTGGCAAAGGCTATGCTGCTATTCACATCAAGTTTTATTGAATGGGTGAACTTATTATACCTTACTAAATGGTTAAATTTCATATATTTATATTTATAAACAAAAGGCTATATTAATAAATATACTGTTGAACACAAGGATAATTAAAATGATACAGACATACCGTAAGTAACGAGGAAAATGATGTTGCTGTGAAGATGATATGAATTTTATATTTACAAGCATTATGATTAATCACTTAATTGTAATTATATAAGGAAACAAATTAACAAACCAGGCTGCATTATTATATTCTCATGTAGGTGATGTATCCATCGTCTCACGCTGCCTTGCTGGTAGAATATTATGAGAAGACATGAAGTAAATTTCAGCACCTCTGACATCACAACGGCTGACGTTGCCATGAACATTTCACCGCCTCTCGTACGCACATAGCGCATGACCAAAATGACCATGGCATTTTGTGCTGTGAGAGCGATTAAACTGAGATATTTCAACATGTATGGAGCACCTATAAAAAACAAAATGATTATATCATAGTTAATTTATACATGTAGTTAAAAATTCTTATAACAAGAGGGCCATGATAGCCCTAGATTGCTCAAATGAAATCCATTAAAGTGAGATCCATTAAAGTCTATAACTTTTTCAGGTAGAAGTCCACAACATGATGCTTAATATCTAAGCTCTGAGGTAAAGTCATTCTTGACCCAGGGACTACAATGTCAAATATCTGAGCTCTAGACATTGTTTCATTTTTATGTCTATTTTTAGCATCTGTGACTGAAACCAATTACATAAATTTTGTAGAGTGCACTTTCAGGATCATTCATGTGAAGATTTGTTAATATCTATTCATCTTGTAGTTTTAAAGAAATTGAGTATAACTCATGACAGATGACACAAGAGGAACAAAAGCTCATGTCAAAATAAAAAAAAATGATCAGATGAGCTAAAATATAAATGTAAAGTACGTTAAAGTTACTAGCATCAGTTTATTTCCATTTTTCAATACTATTAAAATTATCATATGCACAGTTTACACACAAAAATAAATATAAGTAGAAAATATTAAAAGCATCAAGTATATCAGATTTGATTTAATAGATAATTTAAAAGCACATTATGTCTAAAAAATCTGTATTTATGCAAGTCTTTAGAAATGTCAAACATGTGTTAAATAATGTTTTACTAATGGATTTAGAGCATGTGCTAAAGAAGGTAGCGCTGAATGTGCAGTAATGTGTCGTAAAGGTACAACTGTAGCAAAATGTACTCGTACAAAATACTGATATCTATGTGGCAAATGAGTATGTTTTATATAGTGTAACAAGATCAGTTTTTGTGAAATAAAAATGACAGCATTTCTGAGGCATAATGGGCCTTTAATATAACAACAAAATAATACAATTAACTTAACTACAACCATAAAACCATAAGTAAATGTAATATAAGACTATTCTAAATATATTAACCAAAATCAATGTAACATGAGAGATGATACATGGTCTTTCTGTTACTTTAAAAAGAAAAAAAAAAACATACACATGCAAAATTCATAATAAAAGTTAAGTTCCCAAGAAAAGATAATCAATAACGTAAGAAAATTATTTTCATAATTGATAAGTCATTTATGTCTTAAACTGAAAACTTCTATCAACTCAAGAAAACTAGAAAAAACTTAGGAAAAGTGTTTGTTTTTAAAGGTTTTAGAAATTTGTCAATAATGTCAATATTTACATTTTCTTCCCTATTACTTAATAGAATATAGACTATTTTTACACATTTTTACACATTATAGTAATAACGATTTTATTAGGATAGTGTCAAACAATATGCTTAAACTTCTTCACTTGACAACAATTTAGTATTTCAAAAAAAAGGTCTTAATTTTGAACAACATTAAAAGGAAACTAGAACTCTGTGAGTCGGATGTGTCACCTTGTGAACAATATAGTTTAGGAGAAATGGCCAGGACAAAAATGAAATATGAAAATTAAAAAAGGGCAATAACTCAAAAAATAAGAAATGCAGAGCAGCAGTTTCTGTGCTATCAATAAGATCTATCATCCTATGAAGTTTCAAGTCTATAGCTTTTATAATTTATGAGAAATGGCCTTGACAAAAATAAAGTATGAAAATTAATGGCCTTGACAAAAATAAAGTATGAAAATTAATAAAGGATAATAACTCAAAAATAAGAAATGCAGAGTACCAGTTCTTGTACATTGCACTTTTTCTTAATGATATCTATCATCCTATGAAGTTTAAAGACCATAGCTTTTATACTTTAGGAGAAATGGCCCGGACAAAAATAAAGTATGAAAATTAACAAAGGGCAATAACTCAAAAAATAAGAAATGCAGAGTACCTGTTCTTGAGCACTGCACTTCTTCTTAACGAGATCTATCATCCTATGAAGTTTCAAGTCCATAGCTTTTATACTTAAGGAGAAATGGCTTGGACAAAAATAAAGTATGAAAATTAACAAAGGGCAATAACTCAAAAAATAAGAAATGCAGAGTACCGGTTCTTGTGCACTGCACTTCTTCTTAATGAGATCTATCATCCTATGAAGTTTCAAGTCCATAGCTTTTATACATAAGGAGAAATGGCCTAGACAAAAATAAAGTATGAAAATTAACAAAGGGCAATAACTCAAAAATTAAGAAGTGCAGAGTACCGGTTCTTGTGCACTGCACTTCGCGTCATTATAAGAAGCATACATACCAAGTTTGAAGTCAATCCGACTTATAATGATTGACTTATGCTCCGGACAAAATTAAGGGGACGCCGACACCGACAAAAGTTAACCCTATATGTCGCCTTTTTCAAGGCGACACAAAAAAAGACAACAAAAAACATAACAAAATAACATAATTAAATTTTTTCCCCTTAATTTTAAAGGGACCTTTTTTATTTGTAAAAGACAAATAAGAAGAATTTCAGAAGACACTTTGTGTTCCAACCTAATCCTATTTTGTCAGAACAACTTAAATGCTTTGCGTACATTGTAAATTGAAACAATTGTACATGTATATATTCTGAGAAAGAAGTGATAAATAACGTGGAATATTCAAGGTGGCACTGCTAAGTATACTTAAAAATTTGGTTGTTACACTGGCAGTATTCAAAGATTTTTTTTTATTGTGAATGTGGCATTTCATTCAGTTATGAAGTTGGCATTTTGGAATTATAACCCAGTAACCCTGGATACTGCATCAGTACTAAATATCTATATTTTTCACAAAATGTAACCAGTATCTCTATTATACATCCAGTAGTGGGTGGTTTATTATAGTGCTGTACATTTGTAATGTCAAATTTTTTCAATGGATAATCCTGACATTTTACTATCTAAATTACATAATGACTGCTGTAAATTTATATAGTTCAACATATAACTTCCATTTTTTCCGCAAATAATCTGTATTACTTAATATATCATGTAATTATAGGGATTGAACATTATACTTAAAACCATATTATAGCTGAAAAAGATGTGCCACACCGTTGATATAGACAGACCTTACAAACCTAAGGTCTCTGACTATAACTGTTCCCATTATGAAATTAGCCACAGCAAAACTGACAATTCATATTATATACATCAAACATTTACTTTATTGATTTATAACATTGCCTAAAGGCAAGACATATTAATTAAATGTATAAAATAATATAAGCCACCTCTTTTCTATAGAACTATTTAACACTGGACAGGTTCAATACACCAATATTGTAATTGAATCATGTTGAAAAATTAAGTTAAGACACTATTGCACTGAGCCTGCAATAGGCATGATAAAGTCAATAGAGAAGCTAGACACTGCTGTTTGAAGTATAATAGATAAGTGATTGTATATAACAGACAGTATGTACGTAAGTTATTGACTCAAAATGAATGAAGATAACAGATGGTTACCAACATGACAGATTTCATCATTGATATAATATAATTTCTAATATTTCTAGGGATACATGTACCTTACTATAGTATATCAATATTAAAGGTACTCCACAAAGGACTTTTTGACATGACCAATCTGAGAATATTTTTTTTTTGAGAATTATAAACCATTTGTGTAGGTGTGGACCAATAATGTATTTGTTTGTTTCTATAAGCTTATAGCTTCTTACACATTCAAACTAACATATTACTCTTATAACTCATATAACTCTCTCTTATACTCAATATATCGTCAGCAAGATAAATTCTCTATAAACTAATAACTTGTGCAAAATTTGATATCACTTGCTCATTTCATGTTTAAAGAAAAAATAATCAAAAAATGAAATGCATTTAAAACACTTTTAACTCAAACCAGGCTTAGAGTCGCTCAAAAATATCATTTTAAATTTAATTCTGAGTATATTTCTTAATTAAATTTTTTTTCTGTTTAAGTGGCCCTGGAGATAATTTACATGAGAAATTCAAATTTTATGTTTTAAGCAACAGTAAAGTTCCTTGGACTATATTATTGTCAATAGACAAACATTACAGTGAAACTTTAGTTTAATGATATATCTGTGAATATTTTTCTCCTTTAAGGCATATTAGTTATATTTTATTACAGACACCTGTTATACAATTTAGAATATTAATGTGAAAGTGAGGCTCTTATGCTTGCACACATGTTAACTTGTTTTTCAAAAATCAGTAAAGAGCCAGACCTTGACCTGCACTTCCATGCCAGTAACAATGTAGAAATTTGAAGTACAAGACTAAATTGTGATGCATACATGTAAACTGCAAAATAAAATTCTCAACATATGAGCAGATGTCTGTCTACTCAGCATATTTTCAGGATTGTGAAGTGAAGTATTTTGTAGAGAATTATTTAGCAGTGTTTAAAATTCCAATTAAAATGTAGTATTCAATACTCCTGAAAAATTGCTAATATTGGTTCTTGTTGCTGGCACCTTTAAAACATCAAATACTATTGAGCAAAATATCTAGCCTTAACATTGCGGATTTTTTGTAATGGATTTACCTTCTTAATGTTAAGGAATATCAAAATACAAAACAAGCATACTTAAAGCTTCCAACATAATCAAACTAAAACAAATTTGTATAAACTAAAACAACATAAAAATTAAATACCGGTACTTTTTATCACTTTAATAAGTCAAATCTGGCTAGAAATAACACAAAAATCTATTTTAGATTTAATTCTTGAGAGTATATTTTAACAGCTTTTACATATAATCCTGTTTTATGTGTGCCCTATTGATCTATGACAGAATTTTGTATCTTATGTTTTTTGGCTTTTGGACCTTAGTTGAATATTGAATGTGCCATAAATTTAAACATCTGCTTGAATAAATCTGTTAGTTATGTAATTTCTTTATTGACATAATTGCCGTAGCTGGTTAATTTAAATAAAATATGAAAATAAAATTACATACATTCTGATATACAAAGATAAAATGAGCCGTGCCATGACAAAACCAACGTAATGGGTTTGCGACCAGCATGGATTCTGACCAGCCTGCGCATCCGCTGGTCTG